TAACCGTTGTCAGAAGTGAGATACAAATTTACTTCTATTGACCATTTTAAAAAGGCATACGGATTGATTTCTCAAAATATAAAACTGTTGTTTTAGCATTTTGTCATCAGTATAAGATGTCTCACTGTTGCCATGTCTACAGTGGAGGACAGCTGGACCCCTACAATGGGGGACCCAGACCATACTGTGTATATTTCATGTTTCCACAGTATGATCGGCTTTATTTGTTTTGAAATACTAGTATTTAGTATGTAAAAATAGACTTGTCCTGTTTTTTTAGTGCCCTCACAGCTATATGATAAAAAAATTCTCATAATTAGCAGAACAGAAAACATAAAACATGCTAATTGCACACTAGTCTGTGTATTCAAAGCACCGAAAGGAAACCCTTGCACATGTGTTTCCTGCACTGACTGAAATGGCAGCTCAGGTGCATTTATAAATTTATGACCCCTTTGAACTCCTCTTTTGGTCTGTTTTAATTTTAGCTAGCTCTCAGTTAATTTATTCTCAGTTATCCTATAATACATCTCAGATTAAATTGTAGGCACTTGCACCTGCAGGCACAGCTTCCATGTCTGTGTCAAAACAGCCTCTGACCCCTGTATAACATCTGTTCCTTATATCCAGGTCACTCCTGTGCTATTTTACTATTTCACTGTTTTGAGATTCTCCCATGAACCCTCAAAAACCATGTACCTGTCTCTGCAGGAACCTGGGCAAACACAGACAGTCGTCATGACAATGTCAAGGTTCCCCTTAAACTTTATCACCCTTGTCCAATAAAACATAATTTCAAATTTTAGGTTAAAAGAATGACATTTATGGTACTTTTATTGCCAGATGTTGAAATGGTTCAAATTTGACTTGAACAGCATATAAGGGTTAAATGTACTTAAAATCTGGTATTATTTATAGTCTTTTACAGTATGAAAATACAGTGAGGGACATTCTGCATCAGTGATGAAGAAACTGTGAGAAATCCATTACATAACAGGCAGAAATAACAATGAAACACCCACATCAGCAGTGTAGATTCAGTAAACTGCAACACCACTGCGTTGTGGTTAAGGGAAATCAAACATTACTATGATTTTCTTCACAGCTGAAGAAAAATGAATGGATGTTTACATAGTGGATTTGAATTGGATTCGGGACTGAAATGGAAATAGACAAGCTAGGTTGAATGATGGCGCAAACACAAGAAGAGACAATTAAATACTTAGTCAGAAAATAAAGATTGGTGTATGCGAATGTCCAAGGAGAGATTAAGAAAACCCCACAATTCGTTTATTCTTTGCTATAAACTGCCAACTGTGACTCCCATGATGTACCTACGTTGTAAGCATCATTAGGAACTGGTAAGTACTTTTAGCTACTGAAAATGATACAACATGGTAAATGGGAGCCATATTACCTTCAAACTTCTTAGTCAGTTCTGTCCCTGATGGACAGCAGCTAACTGGTAGCAATATTTATGTATAGGATGTCATAACACTACAAGTCTTTTTCAGCAATACAGGACAGCTTGTATGCTTGCTATCCTCCCACTGGCCTCCTGTTGACTGGATGGCTTTATGCCTAGAACAGCATCACATTTCAGGGAATACACACACCGACATGATCACACACCTGCACTCACAGGCGTGCCAGGAAATTCACATGCAGAGCGACAATGATATGCAGAAATACAGTAACACAGTGGAAATCTGTACGCACACTATAGATGGTTGTGTGTGTGCTAGGAGATAAGCTCAGGACAAAGAGATAGTACATTTTGTTTTCAAAGTGTCATGTCATATCTGTGGTATGACTAAGTGACCTCGATATGGGCATAGAAGTGCACACGAAGGAAACAATTATCTTTCTTAGTTGCATATTATTTGTGTGGTTGAAACAGGCTTTCATTTACTGATTCAACTCAAGGTCACTGAGTCACATTTTATCGCAGCGCATAATGTTTTCTCATTGTCTTCAGTTCAGATTTGTAAAAAAATACAGATTCATGCACAAACACGCCAACTGTAACTAATGTGCAACAAAAATCAACACAGCTTGTTACATTGCAGTATATCTCACACATCCACACCACATGCTTTCTCCAGTTTCTTTCCACCCATAAATAGAAAAAAAAAGAAGATAAAAAATACCCTTCCAGCATTATTCATTTCACTACTTTGGCTTTATTGCTGAAAATAAAACAACACATCAGTAAAAACAATAAATAGTCATTGCCGACGCTGCTTATGTACAGAGTTGCTTGAAAGTATCAGGCTCCATCTGTGTTATATTCTTTTACGAGAAGTTAATCGACACAATGCTGCTTTTTAGTTTTTAGTTTTAGTTAAACATACTTTTAGCTGTAGACATTTTTCAAGAGCTAATATGTGAGAAAATTTAACTGATATTTTGTGGGAAAATTTACAACACCTGAAGTTACATTTTGCCAGAAAGTCATTATTCAAACATTAAACTAGAGCAAAAGACGGGACTAAGAAATACTGCTATCAGTTGACATAGTTCAAAGTTGTATTCTACAGTAAGGTTTTTCAGTGCAAAAAGTGAGACTTTAATGAAGTCTGTAACACTGGTAAAGCTCTCCTGTAAAATTTATGACCTCATAGTTCTACCATCATTCAGTGGGGACTAGGACAGAAAGCAGTGGTACATCATTTTAATCAAGTCTATCACTCAAGAGGCTAGAGAGTTGTATAACACTGTCAAAGAAAATCAATGTGCATAAACAATGAACATGCTTTTAATCCCAAGAACAATACTGTCATACCCTGCGAAAATCAAAGCAATAGGTCATGATATTATTCAGTTTAAAAAACACTCAAAGGCACTCAAAGGATTTCATCTTTAGGTAAACAATAGAAAAAAAATAGAATACAGAATAGAATACAATGTCTGAATGACACAAGGCCTCATCTGACTATGACCTCAGGTGACTGCGCATCAGTTGCTCAGAGATTCTACAATTATGCAACATTTGGGAACGTTTGCACCGCACCCAAGATGAGGAGGCTGGAAGACACAAAAACAGTCCACTGGTGGGAAAACGACTCCACCAAAAGTCTTTTATGTTTGGATTTTTGTGTATGCATATGCGCGCATTCAAAATTGTGAAATTTCCATTTCATGAATGGGTGTGAGAATGTGTTGCCTTCTCTTCTGGGACATGTAAAGATTACTGCAATAAACGGGGATATATTAACACTCGTGGATAGGTCTCTATGTACAAACCACTGCTATCAACAATCCACATGGGCTTAATCTCCGATCTTAGACGTGGGCGCTTTTGGCATGATTGGTGGAGGACGCAGCTGGTGGGTTGTTGCCTCCCTGTTTGGAGTAATAAAAATGGTTGTTCTCCTGGTAGGAGCGAGACGAGGAGGAATCGGATGAGCAGGTGACGATGGATCCACCGAGCAGGCTGAAAATAGTGCCCACCCACCCAGAATAGAGGGAGAAGCCAAATGACATGAGGCCATACTCACGATGGGCCCCAATGGGAAACCAAATAGTGGACACCAAACCGCAGATTGCTGAGGAGAAAGAGACAGACAAAATGTTCAGTTAGAAACAGGAAATTAATTTAAAAAAACATATGATTAGATTTTATGAGAACCGAATCTTGAATTTAAACTCATCCTAAAAGGCCTGTGTAAAACAAACAATGTCTAAATTTAAAAAATGACATTTAAATAGTGCACTTAAATCCATCCTATATCCAGTACATACAAGAACAAATTCTAAGTGAACACGGTCAAGGATATATAAATAATACGGCTACTTAGGTAAAGAAGTAAGCACAGATATAAAGATAAAATGTGGATTATAGTTTTACAGACAACAGAGTACAGATACTGTATAGTTACAATAAGGCAACATGCCCACTGAATTTTAATTAAGCTATCCAATAAGTATTTAAAAACATGCATACCCATATATGTTCCTGATAGCTAAAGAAAACTTTTTACTAGTTTCATTAAATCTGAGCTTCATGGTGAAAGAAAATCTGTCATGAGAAAAATGGGCAGTAGAAATATGAAATGATTTGGTCACAAGGGTTGAAATTTCATTTCAGGGACACAGGCGCTGGAAATTTATAAGCACAGAGTTCATGTTGTTCAGGACAAAGACAGGGTGTGGATGAGTAGGTGGAGGAGAGGAATGTGATGGAACCTTGGGGGTGGGTTCAATGGAACAGGAACATATAGGAGTGCATGTGTACCCCAGGGAGGAAAACAGTCAAATTCAACATCCTGTCCTCACCACAGCTTGTAAGCATCTGGTGCATGTATAAAAGTGGTCAGAATCAGGAAGGTTCAAAGAGATGTTGACATGTATATTAACTAATCTCTTACCAACTATGAGTATAAGCACTCCTCCCAGGATGACACGCTTGTTCTTGGAGCTCTGGGGTTCATTCCCAAGGTTGATACAGGGCATGGACATGAGGAGCATAATCACTGCTGGGAAACCGAGGATTGAACCTGTGATCATCAGGGCACGAGTAGTCTGGATGTAGGCTATAGAAGCAGAAAAGGAAAGTTATGCGAGGAATGTACTCGGCATAAAAAATAATGCAGTTTTTTTTTTTTTACAATCAACTCATGAATCAATAGATGAAAAAAAAAGAAATGATAAAGAACTTGTAGTTAGATAACGGGAAATAAAATAATTAGTGTCAAAAATATGGTGTAACAAACCGCATGAGCTCAAGTGAAGAGAATGACTCAGCGTGTATAAACAAACACTGTGCTGTTCAGACAACGTAGACGAAGCAGTGTCTACCTGGCAGATCCAGGATCTGTGTAAGGGAGACGCAGTGGTAGAGCCCTGTAGAGATGACACAATGCGCCCATGGTCCCCTGGCCTCCAGCTCATCCATCTTCTTACAGGTGTTTAAACCGTATTTACAAATATTCACCCAGTCAGTGGTGGATGTGGCGACCACTATACCTAGCCACCCGAGGAAGCTGAGGAGAAACCCGCCCAGTTGGAGACAAGAGTTTGCCATGATGAAAACTGCGAGTAAAGACCACTTGTCCCGAGTTCAGAAACCGTAAGAATCCCTAAAACTAAAGCTGAGTAAAATGACAAAACAGAAATTTAAGTGATAAAGCGTTAAATCAGTTCCACCACACAAGATAATCCGGCGCTAAATGTCCACGTCCAATTGAATAATTCCATCAAATGAGATCTGTTGCATACTTCAAAAGAATGGTTTAATATGACGATACCTTTTATAAGGGGAAGTTCAGTAAAGAAAAAAAAAAAACTAGCCTAAAACTTTCAGCCAATCAGAAAATCACGTTTGCTATTTCCAAAAAAACAAGATGTGCACTCCCCTTTACTTTACCGGATCAAGTGATGCAGACTGTAGGTGGCTGAGATTGAAGCACAGAATGTTTAACAAGAGGCCTGCTGCCATCTACTGGTCATTCTGCATTCTCTTCAAACGGACCGGCAGAAAGGTGCATCGTCTCCAACGAAACAATCCCTTAATAAAAAGTTGGAAATGAATAAAAGAAGACCCGAGTTAAGGTACACGTTCCTCACTACGTTTATTTTCCGCACTTCTATTATTGTGTGATAAGTTGCGGGATAATAAAGTTAGTTGAAATCCACAATTTTTATGTACATTAACTTACTTTTTATATATAATTTAATGTGTGCATTTAGCTGTTAGTATGTTAGTTTAGGTTGAAAAGAAGGAAATGGGCGTGTGAGGAGGTGGGTGTATGTAATCCTGCTGTTTGGGGTGTGCACCCTTTCGTCCATCCTCTTTTCTGTCTGTGACTGTCGTGTTGCGACGCCTGTTATTTTCCTTAAAATAACAAAAGTAGCTTGGTTATTTTATTATATATTACATGTTAATGTTTTTGTTGTTGTTGTTTTGTTTTTTTTGTTTTTTGTTTGTTTTGGGGGGGGGTGGTGGTGGGGTTTTTTTGGTTAAAAAAAAAAAAAAAGACTCATCCTGGCGTAAATTTTACCATTTTTCGTTTTGGTAAATCTTTTTCTATCGTTGCTGGAACTAAGCCCTACATGACAACTAATCTTCTTTATATAGATGCTAATTAAGGAAAGAGGACAAGCTCAGCATCTTAATTTATTGGGCAAACAGACACAAGGCATGATTAAGACCGCTAGCACAATCAACTCTGTGAAATAACCTTGAATGTCTATCTGTGACAGCAGTCCAATTTATCAGCACTACATGTTCAGCATCACCCAAGAACAGTCAGTAATAATTTTATATGTTGTGCAGTGGTTCACACATTCACCTAACAAGCAAAGGATCGATTCTAGAAGTAGACACAAATCCATTGGGGGCTGTGTCAGTAAGGAAATCCACCTTAAAAATATGTCAAATCAAATATGTGGAGCTACCTGCTGTGCAACTTGTCTCCTTCTTCCCTTTTTTGACATATACAGGCTGTGGCTGAAAAAGAGCATTTTATGTTTGGTGGTCTTGTTTACCACCTAAACGCCAGCTTCCTCTGCTGTCCCTGGGAAAGTGTTGCCTGCCTGTAAAGCGACTTAGTTGTCTTGGGGTGTAAGGTAAACTGATTAATTTTGTCATGTGATGACGCAGGGTGGGAGATCAGAACCACATACTCAGTGTTCAGCTGAAGGAGCCTATCTATGTATCAACATACAGATATGATAGCCCACAGGAATTGGGGGCTCTACCTAACAAATGATGATGATCTCAGTAGATTAAAATTGTTCAGTCCTCGCAGATTAAATATTATAGCTGTTTATTTTTCTCCTGGATTGTCTGCTCTAATTTATTGTCCACATGTATATACAGTGCCTTTTCCTTAAAGCAAATTGGAGTAGATTTGTTTATTTGGCTGCTGTACCAGGGTGCGTTAGGAAGTATTTCCAGTCACTTTACTCTGTTCTTTTGTTTCCTTTGTTTCTGTGCCGGCATTTTTTTCTCTTTTTTGCCTGTTTTTTTTTAACTCTCTGTCACCTCTCCCATATAGTGTACTACAAGCCTGGGAGAAATTTACTGTGTCCTCCTGTAGTTCATGAACAGGTGAAATTAGCTTCATTTTTTCATACCTACGAGTCTTAGATGCATGCCCACTTTTGATCTACACCCACATTCAGTATGATTTCTGCTGGTTACTCTGTGCTGTTACATGTAGACACAGTTTGGGACTTCTAACATCATGGTAAAGATCCCTCAATCTTGGAGCCACTAATTAATGATCCAAATCATCAACAGGGGGCGATAAAGCACAGCATTGGTCCACCGTTTACATTCAGGTGTTGTATGACAAGGTGTTTCCTTCCACCCGTCCTTGCTGGATGGAGTTAAGTAAGTCCTCCATCACTCACATCACTCAGTGACGTGGCAGCAGCATAGCAATCATTCTGAGAGGAAGACTGAAACCGACTGAGACTTTTCAGATACCCCAAGGTCACTGACTGTAATGGCATCTTTGGGCTACATCCTTATTGCGTGTTTTGCACACTGCTCTTTGCCACAGATGCACAAATCTCAGATTTTATTTATTTCAGCACATCTCATCAGATCAGGTATGATCAGAATATCTAAACAGAAAAGGCCTCTCATCAGGTAGGCCTACGCTATTTTCAGCCTGAAAGAAAACGTTTACGTTCAAGTATCCTGAAAGCAGTGTTACTTTGAATGTACGTGTCATAGCTTCCAGGTCAATGGATTATACTTTGAGAAAATTTTGACATCAGAGATGTGGGCTCGATAGTATTACCTCACCCTGCATATCAAAATTTGACACAGGCTGCATACTTTTTTTTTAAAACTCCGCCAGGTACTGTGGGAAAAAAAACAGTAAGGAAAGACTAAGACTTAAATGTATCAGCAGGACAAAAAGCTGCTGAAAAGCCAAAGCTGTAGGTATCAGATTATTCTTTTTTGGAGTAATAGCACTGTATCTGGTTAATGCAGTTTCAATATTTCTTTCAGCTGCTTCAAAGAGAAAACCTTCCACTGAAGATAATCATTTATGACTTTCACTTGGGTCCACCAGAGCTATTGAGTTATAGTCATTCAGTGTAGCTTTGTTATATTTTAAAAGAGACTATTTTGTTTCAGATCAATATTTATACTTTGTTCCCTTCAAGACAGCAAATAGGTTTGCTGCATGCACTTGGTGGTGTTAGACTATTAAAAATGTCTTTACCATTACACCATCTGCAGCTGACTTTTTTGTAGTCTTTTGTTTTATTGTAGATTACCTTGCTTTTACTGGGTTAATCTTATATCCAAAATGTACTAATGGATGCACAGGCAGTGTGTTTAGTGGTGAGAAAATTGAAAGAAATGAAAGAAAAGAAGGAAAAACACAAACGTATATCTTCAGATAGTATCTCCAACCTTATGAGACACAGTCTGTGTGCATCACATTAGTGTAAAAGTGGTGGGATAAAAACACATTAGATAAACACATAGATCATTGGGGTAAGTGGTTTAAGCCAGTCAGCCATATAAGAAGTGTTACACTTCATCTCTCCCACCATTTAACTACTCTGTGTGTCATTCATATCGCTCTCTGTCTCTCCCCTCAACTCTCCAGCTCAACTGCCTAATAGAAATGGATGAATGCATAGATAGAAAGATGGATTGATATAGATAGATTGCTCTTAGTAACTAAATCAAAGATGGAAAAAAGTGAGGGAGTATCCATGCATGAACGGGGGAAACCACATGGAAAAAAGAGTCAAAAAATAAGAAATGTCCTGAACATGGGAAGAGAAAATCCCACTATGATTCCCTGAGCAGTTTGTAAGATACTGGTTGAGTCAGGCGGCAAGGGGATGGGAATATTATGCTAATGGGCTAAGGACTGCAACAGTGACACTGACACAGAGGGATGATGGGATTCTATCCCTCCTAGCGAGAGAAAGGGGGGAGGGGGGCAGTGCATGCAGCATGTTTGTGTGTGTGCCTGTGGTCAGGGCATCTGAACACAGAAGACAGGAAGCACAAGAGAGTAACTCCTGTCTAACCCCTCATGCTGTCAGAGCTGTCAGTCAGTCAGCTGGAAGAGATGAAGACCAATGACATGCTCTTTGTCTCTGAAAACCCGGACTAGTCGTCCAGTTCAGAGGTGGAGTTGCATTGGAAGAGAATGAGTTATGAGTGGGGAGGTGAGGAGGTGAGGAGAAGCAATGATAAAGTGATTGGAAGAAGAAGGTTACCGTTTTAGGCCAGCCCACTGTGATGGAGTGGCAGCCATATTGGATGAGTCATCCCCAGCCTAAGGGAATGATGGGTACTTTTTCAAATAGATGTCAAGTCACATTCTGTGATTAACAGGAGCCAGAAGCGGAGGAGAAGACGATCATTCCAACAGTGACGTGACTTGCACTGATGAGATTTCAATCAAAGTGCTTCACAGTTGATGTGTTGAGGAAAAAACGAGTATGCATCATTTAAATGTTAAACACAAAGCATCTGCTCGGCAAAAGCGTTATCAAGAACATAAAGTATCAACTTGACTTTTTATAATGTTGGGTCATTTATTAACTATATTTTAATTACCGCAGTTATGTTTTTCTGCATAGTGACAGTCTCTGTTGTGCCATTATGCATCTCTTGGTCATTTGACAGAACTATGCAAAGAAGTTTATATTTTGATATTAAATTGAGAAACAAGGGCACCAATTTATTTACACATTTGCAAACATACATAAAAAATAAACCATATAAGTCTTAAAAAGGGGTTTTATACAATTCCAGTGAACTTGAAAGTCAATATTGTTACGGATACCATTGTTCTTCAACACCTCCTGAACTCTCTTTGGCAAGCCTTCTTTGAATATACATAAGCAGTCTTTAAAAAGGCTTTTTGGAAGGACATTTCAAAGCTTTTTTTAAATGCTTGAATAAGTCAAAGGTCATCGTTAAATGGCTTAAAAAACAAAATCCCAGCCCAGACCTCCTTCTCCCCAACCACCTCCTCCAGCCTTTCTGGGGGAACACCAACAAGGCGTTCCCAGGCCAGCTGAGCTATATAATCTCTCCTGCGTGAATCCAAAATATATATTATATATATAAATATATGTATGCAGTGGACTGAAAGTTACTGAAAAAGTAGCCAATAACCAAAGAAAATCTTTGCTCAACACCACTTAAAAAATAAAAATGACAGGAAAGTGTGGCTCTTTGGAAGCTAGAGATACAGAAATAAGAGCTGGGTCAAGAATTTTGCACAGTACTGTATTTCTCAAAGCAATGTTTAAATTACATAAATTATGGTGAAGTT